TTTTTTTTAAAGCATTTTTAGAATTTTCGCGCAATACTTTATTTAATTGGACTGAGGGTGCCTATTTGACATTTTTTTTGCTATGTAAGCTTTAGAAAATAATAAAATGCTCAGTACATACAACACAAGTTTCATGTTAGCTTCAGTAAAAGGAAGTCGGGAAAGAAGTTATATTATTACCCTCGTTTTTAAGTTTTATTCAGATTTCTAGACACATAATCTAAGCTGTAAAATAGCCAGGGACCGCAAGTAATTATTATTTTTTTAGATTCCAAATCAAAAAGAAAAAACTATAAAAATAATTTTCTGAGTTTTATTTATTGCTTATAAAAATCTAAATTTTTTGCGTTTCAGTTTTTTTTTAAGAAATAAAAGTGCAAAACAAAACTTAATTTTTAAGCTTAATTTTTTACTACATATGTACACATATGCACATCATTTTGTGGATCTGTAACCAACTAACTAAGGTCCATACCAAGGATGAGCGTTTTCGAGGGAATTATTATTCAAATAAAAAATACAATTTTATTCATAATATTTCAATGTTTGAATGGAAAATAAATTTTTATTCTTCATTCAGTAATTTCCATTCATCTCAAGCTCAGTTAGATTTATATTCAGTGGGATTAATTTTCAATTAAGTTGAGTAAATTACAATGAAATACATACTTAACACTTCTGCCAATATTTTAAGATTTAAGGAGTTTCGTAACTGAAAAACGGCTCTCAAGTCTCTAAGTTCTCCATTACACTTACCACAACATTTGTTGTTTCACATTCTCTTTTCAGTTAGCTCTAATTATTGACCCTAATTGGACACAAATTCCACTTGGCGAGCTAACGAAAGCAAAATCAATGCCTACTCGAAATTTTATTTTTAAAAGTTGAGAACTTTGATGCCAACTTTTATGCGGCAAGCAATCAATTTTTAAATTGGCACCTATTTACCGCTGAGCTTCCTCTCGCCACACTTTTTGCTCTAAACCCCATTAGAAGAAAACACTTTTCGCTAATGCATAACAATTGAAAATTTGCAAGGCACCAAGAAAATTGAAAAAAAAAACGAACAAAAAATCACACGAAATTCTGGCCAAAAGGGAAACATAAAAAATTAAGCACCCATGACGGCCAGTAAAGAATTTAAAGCATTGTAAAACAGCATTGTTAGGGTAGCAAAATAAGCGCCGCAACTTACCACAATACCATTAATAGTCCATGTCAAATTAGCAGCCGGCTTGGAGTATTTAATTGAGCAATTGCCATCAACCAAATCGCCGATACGATAACGTGGCTGGATGCCCGTAACTATGGCCTGCTCCTCTGGCAACTCTGTGTTTAAGCGGCGCAGCAGGGCAAGGAATAGAACAAGAAGAGAAAAAAATATTAGACACCAGTGAAAAATGGCAAATGCGAAACTGAAATTGTACAAAAAGATATTTGATCAAAAA